TGATGTTGTACAACTTGTTGACTATTCTGCGAATTTCTCCTTTAAAAAAGTTCACTACCCACTTCTATAGCTGCTTTAACTTTTTCTGTCGGAAATGGTGCACGTGCACCAATCTCTTCGATAAACTGATTTCTTATAACGTCACAACGGTAATTGTGAAGACTGACTGGCTGTTCAATTCAAAACACAGCTAATGGTGTGATATTAACACATTATCAACCACGTCATTACAGCGTGTTAAGTTGCTTCACTGGACTTCATGGTCATTCATATATGATAATCTCTTCACTCTTTCATAAGCAGCTCACATCCATAGTTACAGACTTCACACATCACTCTTGTTATACCGACCACTTTAAAAATTTGGTCGTCATCTGCCAAAACTCAGCACTGAAGTTGGTAGTTGTTAAGCATTAGTTTAATATACCTCGATCATCCAAGTCGATACATACTCACAACCGGGATGAACTGGTCAGCCTCGTTAACCTTTGACTCTACACTTGATGCTAGCATCGATCAAACAATATACTCAACGCTTACAGACAGTGCTATAAAAATACTAGTGGTCAGATAACTTGTAATGATCATATCTCACTGCAAAATAATGAAGTAGAGTGCATTCTTACACCGTACCCTGTGGTACTCAATAATTATTTAGCTATCTAGTTAATGTTGTAGTTGACAGAAACCAATAGAGTCGCTTACATTCCAGATAATTCAGTCACTAAACTACTCTTTCTGAAGCAGCCTACCGTATGAGTCAGTTGACCAACCCACACATATTCCATTCCTCAATGTTGAACAAGTTAATGTAGACTAGATTCTTCAAATTTGAAAGGTATTCTATTAAATGCTTTACATCCAAACTTATTTATTTAGTACAAACTTGAACTAAGGGCTGAAATTTGAATCCAACCATAACTCAAAAAATTCCTGACAGCTAGAGTTGTATAAAATATGCATTCTAAAGACAGACAAATCAACTTTTGCACTGCACCGCAAACCACTACGCGTAATCTCGAAGTACACTCACCACAGCTTATTAAATTTCAATGCACAGACAAACAGGTCAAGTCATGTACATGAGATTTTCAGGAAGTTTAAATAACCGATAAACCCGTCTCCACTGGCATATATCATCACGCATGAATGCCAGTTCTCATCTCGATTTTCGATGACTGTTGAATATATATGGTTTAAAGTCAGTCACATTGATGGAGGTGTAAACACCATACCATGTACGTATTTTAGAATATTTTTTTACCTTCCGTACACTTGAGTGTTATTTTGTTCAGGACCCACTTCTCTGCATGCTACTGTCAAATGTAATTCCATATTAAATTTGTTTATTTGATTTATAACACAAAATGATACAGTATTATTTACTTGATGACGTTTCGAGCATAAATTATTGCACACAATCACACCAATGTAATCATACTACTTTCAACACATAAGAAATGAAATAATGACAGTAACACGAGTACGAACAATAACGACAACATAAGTACAAAGGAGTCCAAAGCCACTATGGTGTTACCCTATAAGGAAGGTACATCAGTAACTTTACGTAGGATCCTCAACAAAGCTGGAATTAGGGTGGTATTTAAACCTACAAACTCACTCAGAGATAAACTTTATCGGCTTAAGGACCCGATAGATTTAATTAAGCAAAATAATCTGATCTATCAAATTACATGTAATGACTGTGAGATCAAGCACTAAGGTCAAACTAGCCGGTCGGGGTCAGTTAGAATAGCCGAACATAGAAGTTTGGCTAAATATACAATGACAGACCCGAATAAGATCAATAATCTAGAAAAAACTCGACTATTGCAATGCATGCATTAACACACAACCACACAATAGGGTGGGATAAAGCCACTGTACTTAAGTTCAATATAATTAGATGGAGAAAGAGGTTGATTACTGAATCTTTGTTCACCGAATCAATACGCAACACCGATATGAGAGATATGGAAAATCTTACTACCCGTTAAAACAAATCTAATAGGGAACTACATCCTGCTACAGTGCCCTAGTTTCACACATATTACTGTCAAATGTGATGACTAGAAATAGTGCACTTCTGCGATAGGCTTTACAATGATTAGTGTCTGTATATGTGTCAATTTTGAGCAAGTGGAATGCATTTGTAAAAGTACTTTTCGGTTTAATTACTCAAAACATCGAGTTAGTGTAATATACTCTCAAGCGATTTGCCACACAGCATGAAAAAACAACGTTAAGAAAACATACAGGGGATAATAGAAAGAAGTCAAAAAAGGACGACAGGAAGTAAGGTAATGTATAATTGTTTTTTATATGAAACCGTCGCTGATTGGACCGAATTGATCGGTTGCTATTAGCATATGGGCTACTGTGCGGATGCCTAGATATTGTCTGCGTTCTAATTATGCTAATGATGGATCGCAGCTAGCAGTGGAATCCAGGATGCGCATTTCGTCCTATTTGGGACTCGCCAGCTGGATGTAATTGTTTATTAAAGAAGCAATGTCGAAGGCATATTCAAAAGGAGCTTTTTACTTTACTTTTGGGTAATAATTAAAAGATTGACAATCGTTATTAATATCAGTGGTTATTTGTGGGGACATATTTGTTAAAAATGTATATGCACATGATTATCTCAGTCGATAACAGAAGAAAAGAGAAAGTTTTACCACGATCACAACTAATTTCGATTCTACGTCATGTCAGCTATCGTCAAAACCCACTGGTGTGCGCAATATCCCAAACAGCATACAGAGTAGTGAGGTACAAACAGACGAAAAACCAGCACAACTATACCTTATCCAACAGCAAAATATTACACACACCCACACACACACATCAACCTGCCGCTGCTTCCACCCCGTCGTAGAGAAAGCTAACAGTCAAAAGTAGGTGTCACTCTGAGGTGATAAAAATAAGAAAAATCTAGGCCACGAAAACTAAAGTTTAAAGATGAACATGCTCAGTGAATTACGATTACCACAAGAATAGAACAAACACAACCTCAACTTAATGAAATACATGCATTTTCTACAGGATGGTGAAAACCCACGGAGAAAAAAGTGATCAAATACCCAGTCATTAGAAATACTCGAGCCAGAGAAAAAACATTTCACAGATGCAAACCAGCATCACATAAAAGATACGTTAAAAACCTGACAATTCTAAGAAATAGTGTAGGTTTACCCAAAATCAAGTGACAGAGCCAAGGAAAAGAAAACCTCTATAAGTACATCCATGAGGGAATTAAATAAAAACGAAGACAGAGGACATCCTTTAAAGACGCCACTAAATGTACACAACTTACCATTAGATCTATGGTACCCAAAAGTCTTCGAATATAGAGTCTTCAACAGCGTGACGCACTCATCCGGCATCTTTCTCAATAAGAGACATTGCGATAAGACCTCTCGATCAGCGGAGTCAAAAGTCGCCTTCAGGTCACCGAAGATAGCTAGTATCGGGTGCCGATAAGTGTGTCAGTGTGCAGATAACTGGCGAAGATGAATATCTGGTTGCTGGACGCACGACCAGGTTTAAAACCTGCCTGCTTTTCTCAGGTTTTCCTGTTCACGAGCTCCAGCTAGGCGTCTAGTGATTACAAACCGTAAGATTTTATACACTACGTTCATCAGACTGATTCCGTGGTTATCGCAGGATTTGTCTCCTTTCGAGAAGACTGGAAAAATCAATGCTTCATATTAGTCTGTTGAGATCATATTTGATTCTCATATGCTAGTAAACTACTTGAGCTAATTCAACATATAATCGTTCACTACCACCTTTGAATACCTTTCTATTATTCATAGGAGTTCTCCATTTCAATGGGCTTACAAGATTTGTATTGGGGACGCGATACTACTAGAACACTCAGAAAGTAGTTGGTTTTTCAAGGGATGACTCCTTGAGTCTTTTGCCTGAAGTTTGATCCGAAAGATAGCGTGGTAGCTAAGGTGCTGCATTCCTATGGATAGCAGTGACCAGCATACTTCAGTATGTCGTTCATCTGTTTTGAATCGTGGAGCCAGTGCTGTTTAACAGTGGTTTGGTTGAGGGTTATCAAACTCTTCAAGGTAAAACTCTCTATGTTCATCAATTCGATGGTAGAGCTAGACCGGAACTTATAACCAGCACTCAAAAGAAAGCGAACCCTGATGGTTTCATTGAAGATAATGGTAAACAATTTTTCCTAAATGAATGATTTCGGTGATAAGTGAGCTAGAGGAAGACAGATATTAATCGATAATAAAGAAGACTCTAGACAATATTACATACGAAACTAAACAACTATAACGGTATGCAAGATATCCTAGAAAGAGATAAGAAAAGAAACATCGTTGCGCTACTCTCATACATGGCTACTTAAATTAGATGAGGCTGAAATTTCTTGAAGACCAACATTGTCAGACTGTCTGCTACGTAAAATAGTGAAATACTGATTAAAAACTAGACTGTACGGTGGGCTGGAACCGATCACTTAACTGCTGACCTTGAATTGCATTTGTTTTACAACTATGTAATCGGAATTATTTTATGGATAAGTAGACAGCCTACCAACTCATATTTACATATATAATAGTAATCTAAATAGAAGTAATGGTGTTACAATAGTGAGAAGTACTTCGAAGTGAACTCAGTTCCTTCAGAAACATGCTGGAGATACTGAAAATGCTAAAACGACAATTTATTGTTCCTTCAATTTTATTATGTACTAAGCTAAAAACAAGCCGGTATACAACCTACTTTTCTCCCAGATGCTCGAACCGCTGAAATCTTGAAAAAGGGGGTGAACTGGGATAAGTGAAGAACATGATGTATCATAGACATTCGAATCTTCTAAAATGACAGTAAATCCTCCCCTGTGAAATAAGACTGATAGTAAAGATAGCATAGTGATATTCTTTTGTTGTGGCAATAAAGGCAGTGATATACAGATAGAAATATACAAAAAACCGAACCATCCAAGAAACTGGACAACTAATATTTACATGTAAAGATATTCATTTAGCTATTCTTGTTTGCTTGAACAGGGAGATATAATTTAAACTCTGCAGGAAGCTCTTCGTCCGAATAGAGGCGATCACAGAAATAGATACGTCTTATACGACAATTAGCATGGATCTAAAAACAATAATAATAAATGGAAAACTTTTGAATAATATGTGACGCAAGATACGCTAAGAACGTAGGAAAGCGATATATATATATATATATATATATATATATATATATATATATATATATATATATATATATATATATATATATATATATATATATATATATATATACCGCATCTAGTCGACAGGTGAGCATTCGGCTCTACAACTGAATGTTATATCTATACCAAAGCAAGCCATTAGATCTCCAAAAACTCGTAAAGTGAGCCTTGAGATTCACCGCGTTGGTCAAGTGAATAACTACACTCGGGTATTGTATATGTCGTAAGCACGGGATACATTCACGCCTTGAGATTCCGAGATTTGGCCAAAGATGCCTGGTATAGAGTTCGGAAGTTGAAAGCCACGATGTGAAACTGACAGCAGGGTTTTAAGAAACCAGGAATGTTTCGCTGGTTTGGATTGCTGACGATAGTCATACAGTGAAAGATTGAGAAGTTTGTAAGAGGCCTAGGCTCGATTGGCTTTTGCCAATCTATGCCACCTATGGCGCCGCCGTGACATCCGTTTGTCTATTAAGGGTCGCATGTACTGCACAGCAGTCCCCTCTGTTCTACTGTATGGCTGTGAAACATGGCCATTGAAAGTGGAAGATATAAGAAGGCTTCAAGTGTTTGACCACCGTTGCCTTCGTAGTATAGGACGTATTCCGTGGTGTCACCGCACCACGTGAGTAATGCAGAAGTCAGGTGTAGAGTTTTGGGGGGTGGGAGCAGAGGTAAATCAGTAGACCAGGTTATAAACCTTCATCGATTGAGATGGTTGAGACACGTACTACGTATGCCTAGTCACCGATTGCCTCGTCACACAATGTTGGCCGAAGTAGGTTCAGGCTAAAAAATGGCTCGAGGCGGCCAGACTAAAACATTGCACCAATGTATGAAGTCTCTGACTGTTGGTTTAAGCCATGTAGGACGGTGCAGATTAGGTGGTTGGGGTCCGCGGGACAAGAGGAACCAGTGCTTGGAGACTCTAGGTGATATGGCTCAGAACCGAAGTCAGTGGCGCAGATGTATACACACATTATCCTCATCTTAACTACACTATACCGAATCTCACCATTTTGTCATTCTTCTTTTCTTTCTTCTCGTACTTTATATTTCTTTTAACTGCATTCCCTTATCTTCATCCTTCACCTTACTACGTTTCTACTTGATGTACTGATATGAGCTGTGGCAACTCGGACCGTTACGCAGTAATGTCTGGTCCTATGTTGAAATTGATTGATTGATTGAAGAAACCTAGTATCAATATAACGAAGTGAAAGTAAAGGAGGAGACAAAATTAAAGAAGGTAATTATTTTCGAGTAGATTTTGTATACTACTGTAAGCGTACAAGCGGTTGACACTTCCTGGTTTCCCACACCCTGCGAGATTTTTTCTACAAGGTACCTGAAAGACGAAAAGGAAAAGATTTGTGTGACCGCAGAGACCATGGGATAGCTACTTGAGGTTTATCGCACACCCTTGAGGTTTGTTGGCTTGGAACTTGATTGTTACAACCCTGGATAAGAAAAACCCACAACACCGGCACAGGTATCCGGCAGGGTAGAGGGGAGTATGCTATCTTTAGGTCTCACTCTTGACATGAAAGGAACTTATATTATATCAACGAAGGGTCTGTGTCAGAGTAATGTCATAATAATAGTCACTAATATTAGGAACTTCATGACAGCTTCAGACTTATAGTCCTATGGTTCCCCTTCGAAGTCGAGAAGCCTGTTTCAAATCTGAGACAATGGAAAGAAGCGCGACTTGATGGATTCCCATCCAATGTTTTAAAAGATGGATGTAGGAAATCACTGAGCAAAGTGGGTACTGTCTAAAGTATGAGAATCGGAGCTAGTCCTGTCAACTGGTCTACCTAACAGATTATTCCAGTCTATAAAAAAATGTGAAAAGTCCTTTTGTGAAAGCCACAGAAGAATCCCTTTGACTAACATTTTGTCCAGTATCCTAGGGTCTATGGTTATCCACTGGGACACGAAAACAGTAAAATAACTACCAGGCATATTTCAGACCTGAGAGAGGGCGCATGGATTGGATGTTTACACTTAGATAGGGTTTTGGAACACATACTTAACGGCGGTCGATATCTAAAATATTTCTCGACACAAAGTTGGCATTTCTGTCGACTGAGAGATGTTATGGCAGTATCTAACTGTGAAGGGAGTACCGAGCAAGTATGTAACGCTAATCAAAGCTCTTCACTCGAAATCGCGCACCCATGTAGGGACTTATGTTGTCATTTGAATTGACCACAAACAGTGGAGTCCGCCGGGGATGTCTACTGTCACCGTCCTTACTTTAGACGTATTAATGGACAGCAATTGATGCCTATAAGTTCACACAGACTGATCCATTCCCTGGAGGGTATCTAGTTGACTTGGAGTATGCACACGAGACTGTCCTGCTAGATGAAGACAATGACGAAATGCAGGATTTTCTGAGCACATTGAGGACAAATCTGAGTGCTTGATATGCGCTTCACATTTCTCAAATGTAAGTTGATGCTTCAAAACTGGTGTGTAACTTTTCTCTGTTTACGGGTGAAGTGGTGGAATGCGAAGAACGATCTCCTTACATTAGGAATTAAACCAGCTTGAACGTTTTGGTTGCTCTTATACAGCAGGTGCACTTGGCATTTGCCAACTTATCTCTGGCGTCGGTGAAACATCTGACTAATCATTAAAGGACATCTATCGAGGCTTCGGCAGCTATACAGCATCATTAGATTTGACAGACAGAGACAAAATCAACAGAGAACCTCAGCCACAAGTACATCTGTTCACGTTGCCGCACTTTAGAGTGTAGTACATAAAGAACAGGTGGATAGAAAAAGAGTGATATCAAAGTAGGAAAAGTTGTATGAGAGAATAAAGAATCTGAGGATAAAGGTCAGTGTGAGTATTCAAGCTATAGAAGACGTCAATGAACGAATAAATCTGCACCATTGTGACCAATTTTAGCAGTGTCAACAAGAGCCCTCAACCATTGATTCCTATCGCCTCCCGGACTCTAGCCAGGTAATCTACACGTCCCACACAACTCAAGATAACAGTAAGAGACTTTATGGACTGGTATTCATTGGTCTGACCACCCTGAACACTTCCAACTTAAGTATGTCTGTATTCCAGGACTTGTCGGAATGTGGAAATATGATCGGTGCACTCTAATCCACGTCGCAAACGTGCCTGGTTTTCTTGAGCTTTACTTGGGTATCGGATAACTATGGTCCTAGGATTTCGGAAACAATATCAGTCAAACTAATTCGCCTATGGTTGTCACAGGAAGATTCCCCTCTCTTCTTATAGAGTGGGATGATCAGTGAAGTAGACCAGTTTGACGGCACTACCTCTAATTCCCATAAAATAACTAGCACCTCCATCACTAATCAGCGATTTCTTACCTTCATCTTTGAAAACCACTAATGCCAAACTGTCATGTCGTGCTGCTGTGCATTGTTTAAGGTTCGATACAGCCTTCTCAACTTCTAGGAGAGTCACAGGGCCAACATCTGCATCCCATTCAGGTACAGGCTGGATATCGGCAACTGAAGCGTGGCTGAGCGCCAGTTGAACTATGCTTCAAAGTTCTAGCCACCTGTTCTGGGAGGGTATCAGCGTCCCATCCTTTGAGGTGATGGTTTCACTTAACATCGTCTCCTTCTTGCGGTATCCTTAATAAGCCTAAACAGTTCCCAAGTGTTACCCACCGCTAATGCCTTCTCCATCTATCTCGCTTTCGTCAACCACCACTTCTCGCAATCACTGCGAACTCTTATTTGGTGTGCGTTTAAGCTGCTTTCGGTCTTCATCGTGGTCAGGGGCAGCTGAAATCAGTCATCTCGCATCAATCAGCTCGGATGATGTCGTGGAAATTCAATGACGTTAGCTAACCTTCGAATGTAAATTACCAATTGTCTTTATCGCTATTTCTACAGCAAACTTAATCTCACGCCAGGTTTCCTCAGGATAGCCACTGCTGTCACGTTCAGATCAACGCATAGCTAACTCCTTAAATACTTACCTGATATCTTCATCTTCCTATCGACCATAGACAGGCTTTGCTATCGCCTGTTTCCTGTGACCAATAAGGCACAGACAAACAAAACCCCACAGTAACGCGTGATCGGAATCCAAACCAGTACTCCAGAAAAAGCGGGAATCCTCCACTGATCCTCTACAACGATGGCTTGCTTAAAGCAGTGTTATCTACCTGTGTCCATCGTTGCTTTGATGTCAGTGGACGTTATGTGAGACAGTGTATTTCCTTGTGCTTAAAGTTAGTGCTGGTCAGAAACAAATGATTGTCGAGACAAACTGCAACACTCAATCATCGTTGTCGGTTCGTTGGCATAGGTTTCCGTAAATAACACCAAGATGCCTTCCCGATTGGCTCAGCTTCTCTATTTGAGCGTTAAAGTCACTTGGCATTATGACCACATCTGTAGTAAAACTGACAGCTTCTCATATAATTCATCCTTTGCATCATCCAAACTGTGATAAGCATGGCCTAGTCTCAAGATCTTTCTTAGTTTTTACAGGTCATTCAGTCGAATAGCACGTAGACGGCTGTTCACCGGTATCGAGTCAAGAAGCACACTATCCGCCCTACAGCTCAATGATATGCCTACAACTAGAGAGTCCACGAGAGCTAGCCACTAAGTCTCCACTTACTCGTAAAGTGAATTTTAAAGAGTCACTGCAATGGTCAGGTGAGGTCAATTTAGTGACCATACACGGATCCTGTATGTGTCTCAGAGACACAGCACACATCCGTGGCTAGAGATCCCACAGTTTCTGGCAGGCGATGCTTGCTGTCCTATTTGGCATAGAGTTTGGACGCTGGAAGCTCCTATACGTAACAGATGGCGAGGTCTTAGGAGACTAGGAATGTGGTTTCGATGGCTTTGATCGTTGGTGATAGGTTGCAGAGTGA